TAACAGGTCCTCCTGATATCTTTGGTGAGCGATCATCACTTTCAAATAGGTGACGCATACTTTGAAAATATGTAACGAAGTAAAGTTAAATAAGAAAAGGAAGAGAGAAGTGAAGGTGTAAGGGGGTGGGGAAAGAGCTGTTACAAGAATCACGCTTTGAAAGCAGGCATATCGGAAACGTCAGTGCAAGCTTTTCGATCCAGGTAAAACCCAAAATGATAAGAAAATCGTGTTGTGATAAGCTACGTGCAGGAAGAGTGAGAGAGACGAACAGCTGAAAAAAAAAAAACTTTCCAATTTACAGATCTGACAATTATACATGTCTGCTGGCGCTGCTCTGGCGTTGTCTCTTATAAGAAAACCTCTTTCTAAGAAGGCTTGGACCATATCCTCGGTAACAATTTTTATTTCTTGACAATTGCTTTGGCAATTTAGGCGAACACAGAAAGTGAAAAAGAGTGCCAAAGCATTGTGATCGTGTTACTTTCGGCTACGATACAGAGCCACTGTCACTGTTCCCCGCTTTGTTTAGCACGGAGCTGTGAATGGATGGAGGTGGGAGTAATTAGCTTTTTGTTCGCGAAAAAAGAAAAAGGAACTTGTCGTGCACATAAAAAAAAGGCGAGGCAAAAGCGGTAAAACGTTTATGCGGAAAGTGCGAAAAAGATAAATATATTTTTTATTTTGTTTATCATTTTCTTATTTGTGTGTAATAAATAATAAAAAAAAAGTTCGTTTCAATTATCCCAACATATACCGTTGGCATCACATGCACCCGAAGGTTCACGATCGGCTGCCGGAGTATATGACCACATTCCCACTGGTAACATTGCAAAATTTTCTTCAGGGCGGACCACTGAATCTGCCGATCATCAGAAGAATTAGGACAGTAGCCAGCACAGGCATATGACCCGATCATGGCACAGAGCAGTGCATCTGTACTACAGACCAAAGCCGTACCAAAACGAACTGAAGAGAAGAGAAAAAAGAAAGGCGAAATTGCTCGCTTTATATAGACATTTTTCTCGTTCGGGACTTCAAATCCCCGTGAATTCTCATTGGCCCAGATAACGGGTTGCGTATCAACTTGTGGGTTGCCTACTATGATATAACAAAACATACAGCACCAAAGGAAATGAAAGGAGTGGTATACTTGATGGTCAAGTAGACAAGCGTGCTTCGGCGGTAGTGGTACGTGTCTCTCACCATGGGCTGCTGTACCTCCGATGCTGTCGCCGCTTGGTTGTGAGGGGTCCGTGCACGGCACCGTGTCAAGCGAAAACAAAGACACGAATGTGAATGAGCATGTAGATTCACGGAAGAAGCGCTTTTCTGTGAGCAGTCAATGACAGAAATAGGCGTGACTGACAAGGTAGACAACTCACCATCAGTGAATATTGAAAACACCATCCACCCAGCAGCCAGTTTACAGTCCTTCAGCCAACAAGGCAAACAGCGTCGTGTGTATATAGCGTAGTTCACAGTACTTTAATATTATCTTTGGACTGTGTGTGTGGCACGTAATGTTGTGTGTGTGCGGAAAAAGATGCCCCCATCGCTGCAGTGCATAATAAAGACCTAGTATCTTCTATGCTTAACCGTGCTCGCCAACTGTTGCTTTACCATCTTCGCTATCCGCCAACAGTTCTCTGAAAGTTCTATCCTCCATCCCAAGTATGTGCTGCTGCAGATACGTTGACCCGTTCATAATCAGTATCCGCTGCCGCTAGTGAAATCGACTCATCCTTCATTTTTTTTTTCATTGCCTGCTGATAAAGTAAATCGGTTCATTTGTTTTTGTGCGGTTCTACGTTCTTTTAAAGCAGCGTTCAAGATCCATTGGGACGATCAGAAGAATAACACTACAAACGATGACTTCCTACAACGTTTGACACTTTTGCGCTTAATTTGTTGCTCCATTGATCACCTTGTTCACTCGCCATCCCTTAGTGCATTTCGAGTGCGTAGTCAATTCGCCAAATCGTTGCGTCACAATGCGCATAGTTTTCGTTTCAGGGGAAAGCTATTGGAACGTTCAAGGTTTGTCACACGCATCGTTTCGTCACTATCCAAAAAAGAAAGATCTGTGTTGCGCTCTTCCTGAATTCCTCATTCCTAGACTACCCTTGCTTCTTTGATGATTTGCGTACGTTATGCTTGTCAATAGTGTGGGTTTGTGCGTACTTGATTGGAGCCTTCGTTATGTGGTAATAAAAAAGAAAGCGAATTTACCCCTACTGTTGCCTGTTTTCACAGCAAAATTCACATTGTGTCTCTGATCGCCTCTTTGCACACTTCTGGCCGTTGCCGAATTAATGATGTTATGAAAAAGCCCGTGAGAAGAACCCTGCTCTTTTGCAGTTGCTTTTTATATACGTTAAGAGCACCGTTTACTGTGCATTACGTCCCATTTAGTTTAACATATAGTCCCTTTTGGTATAAATTACGATCCGCTTAATTTTAACCAAGTCTTGTCTTTAGATGCCACAGCAAAGTGTGTTGATAACGAGCAGCTTCTCCATTACAAGACTTCTCCCAGCAGTAATTCTATTCACGACTGGGGCATTGACTGGTGGCAAGGTGGCATATCAATTAAAGTTGGCAGGGGTAGTAATATGTGTTTGCTCTTGGACTACATGCGTCTGTATGTAGGGCTTACCGTAAAATGGACGCTCCAAGGCTACGTTTTCGGTTTGAGCCACTGATCCGGCCAGTGTACGGAAATGTTCACCAAGCTCATGTCACCTCTACCAATAGGTCAAGAAGGACTTCGTCTCTGGATCGCTTTCAAAGACATTGCATACCGTGGGCGACGACTGAAAATGGCGGGGATTGTCGCTTAACAGAAATACTCATATTCCTTTAGATTTCAATGTAAGTTTTCCCAACTGTGGATTATGATGTTTGGAGAATCGTTAGGTCATATAAATGTGTGGACAGTAGCATATCACAAAATACATAATCAAAGGAACAAGATGGGCGGTGGAAATAAGAAAATCACAACGTGATCTGCCGACGATGGTCAACATCCAAACTTGGGTTGAATCATTATTAAATATTATGAGGATAATCATGGAATATCTCCAACAGCCATTGGAAAAGAAACGTCGTATATTGGGGCAAGACAACCATGGCAGCTATCATCTACATTTTTAAATACGGTGCTTCCCGTCTTTGCACCATCATCTCATCGATCATACATGCCGCTCAATGTTGTTACTGTAGATGGAAGTTTGACTTCATCCTGTACGTGGTCGGACACGCTGATAATTACGCCTTGCGGTATCCATCGACGCTCAAGCGAGACGTGCCCTTTCCCCATTATGTTATCAAACAATAAATGAAACACCTTGTAGCCGAACAAATTGCAGAGTAGATAGTCTGCAAGAGAGACAGCAAGGGTGAGTGTTTTTTCAGCATTGAATCCGGGGAAAAAATAGCTTTAAAAGATAGCGAACAACAACAGCGTAAAGCATGTGTTATTTCCATTGCATTATATGTAAGGCGTAAAATTTGTGCATTCATTTGGGCTACAAGAGTCTTTCTATCAAGTGATATAAAAGAATCTAGAGATGAATAGTCTAAATAAGCGAACAGTAACGCAGCAAAACTACTCTGACATAGATGTACTGTAATAACCGCTGCCAGGTGACACCCCCATAGGTCTTCTAGAGACAGTTATATCGCGACCTTTAGCTCTGCGCTCTTGTGCTGGACTACCTTTCACATCCTTAACTAAATGTCCGTCACATTCGCAGAGTCAGAAGAAGACGCGTATTGGAGGCTGTTGTTGTTGTTGCAGCTGCTTTTTTTTTAAAAAATTGTAAAAAAGGTGAAGTTTTATAACTGTCAAAGAAACAAAAGACCTTTGTTAAAAATCTGTGTACTGTTGTGATAGTACCTGTTGCTGGGATGTGTTATCCGTTAAATATCGCAGTCTGAAAACTAGAAATAGGGCGTTAGCATTTTTAGAGGTAAAGTAATATGGTGCAACCTGTCTAAATGGAGAGAAGCGAAGGTTTCTCTTTTATCGGACTAGTATTGCTGATGGAAAAAGCTTCTTTTTTTTACTAACGCACTTTTGTTCGCGTCTCCTTCTTGTGGCTGTTGTTGTTGGTGTTTAAATAGAAAGCTTTGCGAAAAGCATTCGAAGACAAAGTGTTCCAGTGTCATGGCACAGTCCAGGCTTAAAAAGGCTCCCTTCACTACTACAGTTGTAGAACCAGATGAATGCTTTTTTAGAGGCGCATATGTCCATGTATAAGCTTGGCAGCACCGAAAGCAAAGAAACAGCACGACTGCTCTTTTCTGGCCGCAGTGTAAGACGCGGTCTTTGTCGGACAAAAAGATGAACTTGGATGTTGGACCACCTGTGATGACCAAGATTCAGGTTGTCACGACGAGAAAGATCTCCTTGTTCGAGGATTTTTTAACATTGCGCCGTGTTTGAGTACACGAGGCATAGACACAGTATCCTCTATCTAGCGTGACAATGCCCAATCACGCTTCCCCCACCCCCAACACCGCATATGAAAAGATAATCTTTGCATGAATATATCCCAATATAACCATATATTTTTTATTAAAAATTAAAGATCGTATTGCTCCTTTAATTTATTTATGTTTTTGGTTATCGTGAAAGTTTTTCTTATCTGTCATTGAATAAGCAACAATAGGAGCAATAGCTTTTGTAAACATATTGTCTAATACCACCTTTATTATATTCACGACATTTCACATACATAAGTTTAAATGATTCCTGCTATACTGTCTGAATGTGAGATGCTCAATTACTGCCAGCTCGATACATAGAAACGATTTTAGATGTAAATATCAGCTTTGTAGTAACAATAAACATAGATTGAACCTTTTCTAAAGGCATGAACTCCTCTTCTAATGTGTATAAACTGGGAGTTACAACAGAAGGCAGTATTATTATCACAGACATCAGAGTTTACGCACGGAAACAACTCTCATCAAATATCCGCACTGCAAGACGCGTATGTACAAATCACCCCTCAGCCTCAATCCCACCCAAAAAAAGTCAAGCTTCTTAACTTTGAGCTGCGTAAAAGATAGAAAACTCCGGCAATAAGCAAAACTCATCACGCCCTTTTCTTCGCTTCCCACTCTGTTTAACTTGCTGAAACCATGAACACTTGGTGGGCATGGTGTACTCTTCTTGCCATAATCAGCCATTGGTCTGCTACGGTAGCAGCCGGGGAAGTTCTGGAGCTTACTGGGATCGACTTTGACTCTACTACACAGCGAGGACTTTGGTAAGTTGGTTGGTTGGTGGGTGCTCTTCTTCTACCACCTTGTTTGCGTTGAAGAAGTCTGATTCAACCTGGTTTTTTTTTTCTTTTCGTTTTTAGGTTTGTGAACCACTTTTCACCATTTTGTCCCCACTGTCGACAATTTGGTAAGAGTTAGAGTCTTGGATAATACCTTGAGAGGTTTCCAACTCATTCGGCTAACTCCCAATCGACTTTTGCTCCCTTTTAGCACCGACGTGGCAGCAACTCGCCAATGAACACGAAACTTTAGAAAACTTTCATTTCGCCAAAGTCGACTGCACGCTTCAAGCCGATTTATGCTCAGCTCATAAAGTTCGCCACTTTCCTACACTGCAACTTTTTGTCGACGGCAACGCACCGGCAGAGGAATATCCTACCGTAGACCGCAACTATGAGAAGCTGACCGCATATATCGTTCAGCAAGCTGAAGCATATAATAACCCGAGCAACACTATTCCGGCTGCTGGGGGCAGCAGCAGCAGCAGCAGCAGTAGCAGCAGCGACATAAATTCTTCAAAGAGTAGCAACAATAACGTAGTAGCAAACCCGGATGGCGTCTCGATTCATCTCAATGGAAACAGTTTGGAGGCTGCAAAACAGTCTGGATTACCATGGTTCATCAAGTTTTATGCGCCCTGGTGCGGTCATTGTCAGAAACTCGCGCCTGCTTGGGAGCAAATGGCAAAGGATCTTAAGCGTCAAGTGAACGTAGGTGAAGTAAACTGTGTGGACTATCGAGGTAATTTCTCAAAGCTTATTTTTGTGGTCTTGCTGCCGTTCACTGTTGCATGATATTAAAATGGAGACCGACTGGGGTTTAATGCGTATGTAGATGCTTGTGTCGCTAACGGTGTGCATGGATTCCCAACTCTGAAATTGTAAGTCGTAACATCATATACTGCGGGATAAAGTTGTTTACTTTTTGTGGGATATGCTTAATGAAAAGGCTGGTTTGGTTAGATATATGGATGGCACCGAACATGATTATCACGATGATCGGTCGTTAGTGAGTCTTGTAGGATTTGCGACCAAGATAGCAGGGTAAATAAAGTATCATGTGAGCAAAGGGATAGTGAGATAAAATGACGTGGACCACTGACAAAGACATACTAGACCTACTGTCCTTAATCTCAATTGGGGTCAACTTGAAAATCGATTGCAACAAGAACCTGTAGCTTTCGTTTTCCTCTACGCAGATGAACGAGATTCCGTCAATGTGAGGATTGTTTTTTTTCAAGAAAGGGACACGAAAAAGGACTGTTACTTATACAAACCTTGTGTGCATATGTTATACAGGGATTGATGAAACAAGTAGCACAACAATTCGTTGGCGATCTAGGCTTCTACTTGACCAGCGATTCGCAAGCAGTGCGTCAATACAACCTGGCACCTGCAGACTTGCCTGCAGCACTGATCGTCAAGGATGGAAAGCATGTCATTTATCCGTCGCATCAATTCACAAACACAGAGTCAGTCCGCAAGGCATTGACCGGATGGATCCAAAGCGAGAAATTCCCGTTGGTGAGCGATATCAATCCAGGTAACGCACCCGAGATCTTGCAAGGAACGCATACGGCTGTCGTAGGAGTGATCAACAACAACGACATTGAGAGCATTGCCAAGTTCCACGTCATGGCAGAGACACAAAGCAAGCAACAAAAGGCAAGCAAGTCGGACCGGGTCTTGTTTGCCATGCTTGAAGGCACAACCTGGGGCACATATGCACGGACCGCCTACTCGGTACATCCGAACCGATTACCTGCTTTGATCATTGTAGATCCCTTGGTAATGTCCTACTTTTGTAGACAATGCTTTTCCGAGAACAAAAAAAAAAAAGACGCTCATGCTTAAAAATTTGGGGGGTGGGGTGTTTTATTCCAGGACCATACCTATTATGCACATAATCTCGACGGCCAAAAGTTTTCCTTGGATGATCCAGACAGCGTGCTACAGGCACTCAAGGTGGATATCCCGGAAAAGAACCTGATTGGCGTGTCGACGTTACCATTTCATGCACGCGTCGGGCAAAGCATGCAACACGGTTTTGGAATTCTGCGAGCCCACTGGCTGTTGACATGCGGGGCGTTTGCAGCTCTTTTGTACATTTTAGTCAAACGGACCGGTCGTAGAAAGGGCCGATCGAGTGTACTTCCTGTCAAGTCTGGGCCGCGAGATTAAATGTTTTTTACGTAAGGTAGTGTGCGTCATAGCCACACGCTCCTATCATCACATGTACTTTTTGCTCTCTCTCTTCCCCCAAACCCTCCTTTCTTTTTCGTCGCGCGTCAACTCTCTCCCCTCATTTTTTCTCACTTTATTGTGGAATTGGCTTTTTTTTTTTTTCAAATTGTGTATATATAAACAAACAAGCAAAAATATTAAATGAGAATCATGAATTGCGATGACTAACAGCAGCAGCAGCAGTGGTGGTGGTGGTGGTGGCGGTGGTCGTCGTCGTCGTCGTTGCCGTGCCAAAAGGAGGCGGGGAAAGAGACTTGACACGGCGTTCGCCCTTGATGACCAGTGCATCAGCGAGGGCAGCGGTGGCAGAGAATGGGGGTAGCTTGTGTGATGCATTGGAGGACAATGGACCACGAGAGGGTATCCGGCCCACACTTGTGTCGATGGGTGGCAAAACTGGTTTGGCTGACCGCGGAGAGGGTGTTGACAAGGGGGGATGCGGTTGCGGATGGTGTTGTGGTGGAGGTGGTAAAGCAGGTTTTGCGGTTGGTGTCGTTGTAGAAGTGGTCGTCGTAGTGTTATTGTTAGTGGATGGTGTTGATGCTGTCGTCGTCGTATTAGTAGACGTTGTTGTTGTTGGTGCTGTGTTGGTATTTCCCAAAGGATTAGGCAATGTCCTGGCACGTTTGTTTTTCTCTGCTGCATTGCTGCCGCGTTGAAGTTTGGCTTTAAGCACTTCCATCACTTGGTCATGAGATAGCTTGGCGTCGTGCGGCCTTTTGTTCCCGACGTGGTTATTCTGCTCTCGATTGTTATAATACGACGACCGCGATGTGGATTGCTGCTGCTGCTGCTGTTGTTGTTGTTGTTGTGGCTGTGGCTGTGGTTGCTCAGATACAGAAGGTGGGCAAAGTGGATGCGCAGAGTGTGGGTAATATCCAGCCGGCGACGCTGGCTGGTGATGTTGATGATCACTCGTGACACGTGCAATCACTTGTTGCTGGAATGGTGGTAGACTGCAATACGCTTGCTGCTGTTGCTGTTGTGGATGCTGTGGATGCTGCTGATGTTGTTGTTGTTGATGTTGTTGGTGGTGATAAACCACCGCACCAGGCGGCGGTTGTGGATAAGATCGTAAAGCGTCAAGGTCCATCATTCTTTGTTGAATACGTGTTCGTTCAATTTGCAGCGTACTTTGCGCTGTTTGTTTCTAAACCGGCACCAAAGGAAAAAGTTAAGCCCTTGACTTCCAAAGAAAACTTCGTGTCTTTTCATATTTATCAAGTACCTTGTCTTCCTCGGCTTTAGCCAATAGGACAAGCTTCAGCAGTTCGGGGTCATGTTGATAATTGTCCAAAATCTCTTTGATTGTAATGTCTGATGAGGCGGATGGAATAGGCCACTGGAATGCCGAGGGAGGACGTTCAGTATTGCTGCTGCTGTTGCTGGTATTGTTGCTACTGTGGTTTGATGACGAATGGTTCGCCATGACCCCAAACCTCGGTTCTGTTTCTGTTGCTTTGTTGTTGTCAAGACCGCACCAGCCTGGGTGGATACAGAAAAAGAAAGTTAAAGAAAGGGAGAAAAAAGAGGAACAAAGAAAAGCAAAAGAGGTGAAAGAGAGAGCAGCAGAACCCTAAAAAGCAACGCCTACAGAAAAGAAGAACGGAGGCAAGACTGTGTTACAAAAATTGGGATTAATTAGCCAATATCATCCTCGTCATCCATCTTTTACTTTTGCGCTGTGACCGCCGACACACACTCTCTCTCTCTCTCTCTCTTGGATAGCAGCACGTTGTGATTCCCATATAATACATGATCCAAAGTGATCTACGTGTCTTCCATAACCCCGCACCATGTATCGGTACTTGCTTGTTTTCGGGTTCCACCGCTAGTACTAAATACTACGCAGATCTTTTCCCTATCATACTCTGACGCTTTTCTTTCTTGAAAGGTCATGACAGGCCATACTTTTCATATATGCTTCATCAATCACTTTTTCACCCCTTTCACTTTTTTTTTTCTCGGTGCTGTATCATTCTCAGCGGAAATACAACGGTTAATGATGGGATGCTGTGGGTTTCGAGTATGTTGCTTGGTTAGAAAACACTTGTCTCCGACCTTTCTCTAATATGCGAAATGAGTTTCTATCAAGTGTACTAGCGTAATTTGTATTCATACGCAAACGTTACAACAGCGTAGAGTTGAGCGTGTGCATGTTGGACTCAAATAGTAAAATGGCAATCTCTTTGTGCAACATATGAATTGACATGTGTAAATGAGCTAAACTCCCTCGTGTTAAGTTATTTTCATCCTATGTAGGAGCAACAACAAAAATTCTGTTGTCGCCCATCACCCAAGCCTGATGCATCATGTAAAAGCACCTTTGCTAAATCTATACGATGGTAGTAGCAAAATGGGATTCTCTTTGTACTTTGTCTTTTGTTCTCGTCGCTTCTTCTTCTTCTTCCGCTTGTCTGTTTCATGATGTGAAAAAAAAACAACGTGACATAAAGAACGTTCCCCTTCCCTACCTCCCTTGAGATTCGAGTAAACAGTGCTTCGCGTCTCCAAAGAATGCTTGACAGATCTACATATCACGGTCATGAGGACGATGGTGATCAGAGCATGTTTCACAAACTGAAAACAAGCTGTTGCTCAAGTCGTTCGCATAGTGACGTGGGACAAAAGAAGGAAACAAGCTTATTTTGTACGGAAAGCAACATTGTAACTGCCTCACACCCATAACATCACTCCTCCAACAAGTTGGATTACATAGCATATATACCATACGATTGCTCAATGGGGTATTGATCTTGTTAATAAAGCGGCTGTATGTAATGCTCACCTTACCGGCATTGTGAGGGTCCTCCCCTAAGTACCAATGTCAATATCGGATCGCTCAGCCGCATTTCCGGGTATATAGTACATCTTTGGTCTGCTGTATATTTTTTTTATTGATACAGCCGATGCCCTAAGTTTTCAGGTCTCATCAACAAGAAAGCCAATACAGCACTGGTGCCATAAACCATAGACCAACAATTGTGAAATTGAGCTACTGTAGTAACAATCACTATGGCCAAAATATACTGTACGCATCTTTGTATATTAACCTATGCAACTACATCAGCTTGATGTGCGGTGAGTATGTGTGATTGCTATCACTATTGTCTGTTATATTATTATTGGTATTCGTCTCATCGTCAGCAGATGATCTCTTGCTCAGAATGCTTTCTCAAAAAGGGCAACATTGCTGCAAGTCGTAGAACAATGCTACTCCTACCCATATACTGGTGATATGCGACAACAACATTGCTCTATATGTTGTTGTGTATGGGATGGAATAGGCTGTTGCCGATATTATCTGCGTACTACTGTGTTATACCAATTAACCGTTGTAAGAAGCTGATTGCCACAGAAATCCCATTATAAGTATCAAGCGCTTGTTTATTCAAAGCATTGTACGATATACACCCGTTAAGTCCAACCAATAAATCTCTGCGTTGTCAAAATTAGTCTACTTCTTTGTAACGATCCAAAACAAATGGGTCGTTCTCGGTGCTTTTTTGCTTCCTCTTAGGAGAGGCGACGATACTTAAAACCGGACCATTACTACCACATGCCACTTTGCAAGAATGATCCCTTTTCGTATACTATGCTAGAGCCGACATGATATTTCTTTGAGCAAGTTTCTGGTGATTAAACGTGGATGGAACATCGTTTTACCTTGATGATGATGACCTGTGTGTCTCATGCTGTATTGTTATGCACTATCAAAGTTAATTGCTATTTCTCCCCCTCCTCCACACACTGTGAACAAACGCATGGCAACAAGAAAAGTGCGAGTATTGATTTTTCCTTGACAAAACATATCAAAGAACTAGCTGATGGGTTTTCATATTATGAATATTTACAGAGAGAGAGAGAGAGAGAGAGAGACACGAAATAATAAAGGTAAAGGGGGGTTTCTTTTTAGTTTTTGTTTTTCTACAGCATGCGACCAACAACCTTGTAACCTCGTTCAGCCTTGTTGATGGCGGCGACGGCGGTTTTCTCGGGAATCTGATCGACGTTCTGTACTCGTACAATTTCCTTCAATTTCAAAATGAGACCGGCTGTACTGGGATTAACAGGTTGATACGATGTTTGGTTCAATCGAAATAAGCCGAGGGTTTGAGCGGCAGCACGGTAATCTTTGGAGAGACCAATGGTGGAGCGTGTTAAAGTGACTTTGTAGAATTTAGCCGCGGAGGCTGTGCTGCTGAATGAACGATGCATTTTCTTTTCAAATGTTCCAATGCTGAAAGAGAAGGAGTTGACAGGTTTCAAGGGCTTTTTACTTTCCCGCACAGCGCGCACTTTGCGGCTTGGCTCTCTCCCTTACCACCACTTTTTGAATTGGCGACGTCACCACACTTGGGAAACGGCACTTTTTCAGTTACATTCCCCATTGACCTTTTTTTTTCTTCGTTGGCTCTCATGCAAACTTTCATTGGGCATGTTGAATAAATTTGCAAACTGGGAATGAAAGCATGAGCATAAAAAAAAGTTTACTTTTGAAAAGAATAGTTTAGTGGAAATTCAGCTCAAGGGTCGTTTGTTTTAAAAAAAAGAAGAACGTCTTGAAGAAAAAATCGAGGGAGGCTAACTCTAATAGTATAAGCAAGGGCAAGAAGAAGCTGGTTTAACATTGATTTCTGGTTTCTCTCTCTCTCTCTCTCTCACTGACAGAATAGACCATCATAAACGATATTTTTTATTAAAACAGGTTTCAACTAATCCAAACGCTTGGACGTGTTCTTCTAAGTTTTGCCTTTGACCATACAAAGAGAGCAAAAGCCAAGAACCTTTGATATACGGATTATCCAGTAAAACTAAATGCTCAATTCGCTTCGTAGCCTAAAAAGATGCACATCAATAATAGTTAGCGTCTCATGCGTGCTGTCTAAATAGCTCGTCGCACACAATTTCCCAAGCATGACTTCATACCTTTCTTTTAGCGTTTGTGCAATCGTCGGAGAGCGAGAGACGATGATGCAATGGCCCAGACATACTCATTTTTGAATAAGTCTTTTGCCCAACAGCGTTTAGTGGCAGTGGCTATAAAGTCCTGTCAATATTATGCTTGAATTACATAATATACAACGGTCAGTAGACCCAACATTCATCATGGCACATCCATGTACAACAATTTGGGAAGTGAAGTGTGACTACGTCTTGCAAAACGATGATATCATGCTCGCTGTCGATCCACAACCAGTTGTCATTTGCTTTAATATACCATATCGATAAGAGCGCGCCATGCAGGAACGATGTCAAAGACGTCAATGATAATCTACTGTACATCACGCTACCTTCCAATACACTTGCTCAATAAATCGAGTGTCAGTTATTCTTTTAGTATAAAACGAATCGTAGGCAATTTATCGTTCACTGAGTGAAGCAATATGACGTTATCCTTCATTCTTTGTAAGTTCTCGTCATCGTTTGTCTTGCGCGTGTGAACCGAGAATATGGCATGGAAAAGAAAAAAAAAAGATGTCTGCTTTTTAAGATTAATATCATGCCACATAGTAGACACAGTGGGTTGGGGGGGGTGTGGACCGTGCCCACCCTCCTACCCTCCGTATCCCCATGATCTCCGCAAACCGCGAGCTTGGACGAGCTCACCTCTCTCCGGGTAAAAATTGTTTCACACTGTGTATTTATTTGGAAAAGACTCTGTGAGACTCGTCCTCCTCGGCTGGCATGTGCGACGCATACCTTCACCTAAGCAGACGCGTGCAGTGTAGATTGATAGAATGATAGATAGATACAGATAGATAGATAGATAGGCTTAGGGGTACTCCGTGTTATTCCAGGCCGGGCCTCTGATTTTTTTTTGGGTACAGCGGACTTTTTTTTGAAACAGGCACACACTTTTGAGCGCATTACTAATGAATGACTTCAGGCACCACACATCCCAAAATGTGACAAAAGCTGGACTCGGCTCTTTTGGCCAATCGATAAAAAAGTACTCACTTTGGCAGATAGCCATCCCATGTGGGGACACGACGCACTTTAATAAAAAGTCTAGTTTGTCAATGATGCGGCACTGGGCAGATTGAAAAGTAGTAGCAGTAGTAGTAGTAGTAGTAATAAGGAACAATGGGACTATCTTTAGCATGATCCACTCAACGACTGGGATGTGTGACTATAGAAAACACATTTTCCACCCAGTACAATCCATGTCCAGCGGAGTAGAGCTGTCAAGAAGTGGAAAACCCTTTGGGCTGCCAGGTTAGTTAAACATGCGACAACAACCCTTTTACGTCAAGACGGCCGAAGAGCGGCGATCTTCGGAGAGAGAGAGAGAGAGAGAGAGAGAGTCAGAGAGTCAGAGAGAGACACCCATTTCACGAATGGGGCCCCCCCATGAGGTTACAATGAGCAAAGAAATACACACAAAGTACACACACACACACAACGTTCTTTTTTTTTTTGAGGTTTAGGAAAAGCGTGCCTGAATAGCGCCCTGACCAAGTTGGATTGCCATTGTGCAACGCCGCAACAGGTGATGTTGTTGTCTCTTTCTCTCTCTCTCTAAACCCCCCAACCCCTGCTGCTACTACTACCAGTACCAGCCTACGCTTTCTTTTTTTTTGGAGTTGATCAGATGATTGAAAGAAGGAAAGAATAAAAATTTTTCTTTTTGTGCTTGGCCCTGAGTGTCCGCAGCAAAAGTAGTACCGCGATGAATGGGCCACGCGTCCGTCTTCTCGTCGCCGCCATAAAAAAAAAAAAAGGTACGTAAAAGGTAGAGAGAGAGAGGTTGCAACCACCAAAAAAAAAAAAAAGGGAATCCCGATGAGTCAAAGGAGCGTGTGTGGAACACTGTGGAATCTGGCACAACAATTTTTCATCACAATGACGACGGACCTTTTTTTTTTTTTTTTACTTGGGCCACAGACGACGCCTTTACAAAAAAGGTCAAAGCCGAGACTCCCCCCTCCCCCCTTCCTTCGCCTCTCTTTCTTTCTTTCTTTCTCTCTTTCTCTCTTTCTCCAGTCAAACAGCAACTACCACAACAACAACAGCAACAACAACAACGATACCACACCCCATTATCAACGATTGCACCTTTACAGAAATACATACGAACACACAATAAGACCAACAACAATGCCAGCCGTAAGAAAATCACGCAGCAGCAGCAGCCACAGCCACAGCAGCAGCGAATCCAGACCAAAGTTGTTCCAATGCACAGGCTTTGGCGACTGTCATATGGTGTTCACTCGAAGCGAACACTTGGCTCGACATACGCGAAAGCACACCGGCGAGGTAATTATCTTCTCACACTTCCTACTTTAGCGCATGCTGCTGCGCAACAACCTTGCCTTCTTATACACCCACTTGTCATCCAGGACTAACATCAAAGACACGATAGAAACCCTATCAATGCATTGTGCCTGGCTGCACCCGCATGTTCAGTCGATGGGACAACATGATGCAACACACCCAAACGCATCGAACGACGACCTCCCCTCATCCCAATCAACAACAACCTCGGAAGCAGCATCAAGAACAAGCATCCACCACACGAGTCTATCAGGGCGGTTTGATGTCTCCTGTCTCTCTTGGCTCGCCGGAACAAGCAAGTTGGAGCAGCAGCGATGAGGACGCGTTTGAGGAGATTAACGAACAACAAGAACAAGAAGAACGACCACAACAGGACAATGAGTATAATAGTGACCATCAAGAGGAGGACGAGGAGGAGGTACAGAAACAGCGACGTTTATCCGTAGCCGATCTGTGCAACCCAATTCATTTGACCCTGGACGAATTCGAGGCGCTGGAGGGGTTTGCGCGTTTCCGGGAGACGCCGCTCTTTTATGAGTCGCTGAGGGACTTGGCCACCATTGCTTGCATCGAGCCAAAGCCATCGTCTGCCCAGCACTGCTACTATGCTGCGTAGTCCCTACAAGCATCGTCAAAAACCATCTACTGGAAAAACCAAGAAAACAAAAAAAAGGCCCCAATTCATCTTTCATCCCCCCCCTCCAATCATGTGTTATTATAATTTGCATATCTTTTTCTCTATCTCTCCCTTGCTCTATATCTATCCCTCTGTAGATAAATCTGTCGAAGCCCTAACGCTCGTTGTATAAATACCTTTCTTTTTTACTTGTCTCTCTCTCTCTCTCCAAAATCATGACACCCCCCCCCCTTTTAGTAAAAATGTGTGAAATGAAACCAGACCCGCCCTCTGCAAAATGTCGATTTCCCGTAAAAAGGAACAGGTCATGCGTGAGAGAAACAAGGAGGGACGGGACGCCCAACAACAACAACAATAACAACAACAATAATAATAATACGAATACAATAGCACACACACACACACACTAAAGCCAACTTGCTATCCACGGCGATCGTGGGTGAGATTTGTTCAAAGTAGACACGAAAAACGATCGGATGACTTTTCGGGGGGTTAGGCTTGTGTGTGTGTGTGTGTGCGCGGTTACAGAGTCATCCGTGCCTGGTTTCTGTGTGACATGTACACTCATCCCCAAACTAAAAACACACTGTCCTTTCCTCGTATCACCCAAAAGAAGCCCACGCGTCTTTGGGCAACGTTGACAACCCGCGGCCTTTGAAAAAAGTTTTCTTCGGAGACACTGGGCTGCTTTTGCTGCGCGTATCAACCCATCACCGACGTTCCCCAATTTTTATTTTGGGTTTCCATAATAACAATGCATAAGTTGACTTGTACATTGCATAGATTCGCATTACTGCGACCTCGACTCCTAGTACACCCTACTACTATAACTACTACTACTACTACCACTGCTACACGATTACCGTTACGACCCACCCCATTGTCATGTCTGTCTACCCGATGGTCAAGCACAATACCACCACCAACACAACAACAAAACGAGGAGAATCAAGACGAATTAGAAACGATCGATCCAAAAGACTATCCTGAATTGTACCCAGAACTCCAAAGTGAACAAGTACAGGAAGAAGAAGAATTGGTAGACACGGAATGGTTTGTGGAGGACGAGCAACAACACGATCAAAATTTTGTACCGTTATGGCAACGCCGAGCAGTCGGCGATCATCTCCATGGACGATGGGCCATGCAAGAAGCCTCAAAACGACTGATTGATTCGGGTGACATGACGCCCGAGAACATTCAGGCTTTGTTGGAAGAAAACAAAATGGACGCGGTTCAGGTGCTGGATGTGCGCGGTCGGTGTGACTGGACTGAATATATGATTGTTGCGGAAAGCGATAAAGGAGACCGGTTTCTCTGTAATGTTGCTGAGCAAATACGACAGACAGTAAGTTCTCAAATGGGGGGGGCGGTATATAAAAAAAAGGCAAGCTTTGGGTGATGACTGATATGTCATATATATATATATATAGGTAAACAAAGCGATTCGAGAAAATCCATCGGTACAAGATGAATTGACAGCACCCCATATCGAAGGACGGGATGATCAATCGGGTTGGGTGTTGATCGACTTGGGAAGTTGCGTGGTGCACCTGTTTACGCCTGAGGTTCGCAAGCATTATGACCTGGAAGGATTGTGGATACCCAACGACAGTGACAAGAAGATCCAGGAATAGGTGTCTGTGTGCAACACGCACCAATACACACATTCCCTCATGGATGAAAAAGAGAATAAATAATAATAATAATAATAATCAAAGTTTAGTGTTACCTTTGTTTGCTGTCAACAACAAAAATGAAAATTGAAAAAATGTGCTGGGTTACACGAGAAATCCCATTCCGGTCAGCGGCATAACAGTTATCCGTGCAACATTTGTCATTGAATTGATTTTCTGTGTTGTGTCCCCCCTGTTAGCATTTTTAGCAGTAATTGCTTTTTGTTTTGTCGAGGTTGTAATTATAGGCGCAATGTGGGGGGGGGTTGGGAACTCTTACTGATTCCAATGATTCCCTCCTTGTTGTTGTTCATCTGCGAGGGCACCATTTTTCATGCAGACGATTGACGCCTGTGAAAGAAGCTTGCATGCAGATTGACGGGACTTTGTCAAGTTTCAGTCGTAAATTGAGTTGTGCACATGCCCTCCCACCAGAATCCGACACGATAAAGTCGCGTGTCTCTCTCTCTCTCTCTCTACCCTATTCATTTGAAACCGTATATGATAATGTGTGTTGAAAGGCGTCGATATACCCTATGCTCGTGACGATGTAGTTACAATTTCCTTGACTGCATATCTTTGGCGGATAGCATGGGGGCCGTGACAACGTTCTCCGATTTACGCTAACGCTAAAAGTGGCAACAACAGCTAGAGGACCGATTGAAATCGCATAATGAGAACAAACTGCTAAATTAGCGCGTTGATTTAAAATACCATCGTATGTACTACTGTACGTCATTGCATAACGAAAAAAGTGCCTTATGGCTTTAAAAAGTTTACTAGTGTTGGCTAAACCATTACACATATTTACCTCGTATGTACACTACTGAATGACTGCACAGGCCAATTTACATGTCTTTTTTTACTGCTACTACAAAACTTGGAACTAATTTATGATTGATTTAGTACACTTGTTGTTCAATGAAGAAAGATGTATTGCAGCTGCTGGCGTAATGTATACATTACCCAAGGAGAGGAGAATCCATCAGCGGTCAGTAGCTGATCTTGATCCTGTTGCTGTTGCTCTTGATTCTGTTCCCGTTGTTTCAACCGATCCTAGTGTTGTTGTTGATGTGCGGTAGGGGAAAAAAGGCGATCTTGCAGGTTTAATAAATACTAGCGGTCCTTCCTCGCTTCGCTCGGATGAATGAGCCCCTCCGCTTCGCTCCGTGTCATTCAACGGAAACGCGTCGCAAGGGGGTTCCCCCCTTGACCTTAAAGTGGGGGGCAAGCCTCCCAAACCCCCCTGTCGAGCGAGGATGTATCAATGTTTTGGTATTAGATGCTAATTGTCTGTTTTCAAAAACAAAAGCAAGATCATTGTGCAGTGAGAAGTAGTCTATCATAGAAAGTCGTCAAAGTTGGATACTTAACTATCTCCAGTTTAAAACGCAATGCGAAAAGAAGTGTTGACAAAGATGATGTAGTGATTTTGATAAAAAGAGAATAGGCGAGAAAAAAAGAGAATAGGCAATATAAAAAAAGAGAATAGGCGATGTAGAAAAAGAGAATGGGCGATGTAGAAAAAGAGAATAGGCGATGTAAAAATAGAGTAGGTGACAAAAAGAATTATAGAAGAACTTCGTGAAAAACAACATTTCTTGTGCTTTGGCCTTGCTGACCCGCGATACGTGAGTTCTCAGGATCTAACATGATTCTGATGGATGAAGGGGTGCGGACGCGTGACATGGCTACATAAAGTAGACCATGCGTGGACGGAGGCTCAGGCAAGTAGAGGCCGACAGTGCTAAAAGTTTGATCCTGTGCCTTATTGATGGTCATTGCAAGTGCCAGGCGAACAGGGAATTGGGTGCGTTTTAAGAGAATGGGAGAGCGTGTTTGTGATGGTGTTAAAGTTATGCGAGGGATCAAGACGATGTTGCCAGCATGAGTTCCAGTGGCTATCTCAGCTTCAAGTACATATCGTTGGAGAGAGCGTACAATCAGCCGTGTCTTATTGCAGAGTCCACTATGGGTGTGCAAGTTCCGCTTGGCACCAACAGCTCAGCACCATCACCAATGCAAAGTAAATATTGGATAGACTGGCCAAGCTCGTTTGCATCATTGGTGTTGGCAGCCTATTGGACGCGCATGTCGGTATCAAGGTGGTGGATGATGACGCTGGGCCAAATGGATGAACCATTTAGACACTGCTGTACGATTTGCGAGCGCGATGCATTTGGTATCACAGGAAGGACCTAATACCAGGTTTGACGTAAATACTTTAACGTAAGTATTACCACTCAATAGCAAAAGAATGCAAAGTAGAAGAGAGTATTCAATGTTGAGTACCTAGCAAATGTCAACACCAAGGACCATAATTTTGCCACCAAATGGAACATTGGCAAGCGCGGGATCGTCATGTCTCCTGAAATCTTGGTTACTCCTGTATACATAGTGCAGTGAATACGTTGATGCTTGTATCGAAGTATCGTCGATACTTGTATTCAGCGTGTTTAAAGCGATGTCACTTCTCATATGATGAAGGACGTGAAGTGAGTTTCATCTCGTGTTAATGCCGGTTATTCCCTTGAGTCTTTCCTCGATGCGATACCCGTCTACTCACAGAGTCGTACATTCATGTAGAGTAAATTTTCTGATCTGGAGGAGCCACACATCTCGGCGCGTCATAAACGTGAGAGAGCAATCTGATTGGATTGATTGAACTGGCTCAAATGCCGTGTTCATTACTACTATATAACCGTGCGGCCGCAGCAATCATGGGGCTCTTCTTCCTCTTCGTCAACTTTTATTAACCAAAGCTATTCAATGTGAGTGTCATTGGAATGGATTAGAGGATCGAAGAGTGTATGCTTATGTTGGTGAGTGAGAAGAGCGTATGAAACCGGTTGTGAGTATCTCAAAATCCGTTTATCTCACTTTCTTTCTTTTTGACACAAACCTTCTTCTCGTCTTAACCTGGTACATCTCCCCCTCACGTTGGCTCTCAAAGCGCAGATGCAAGAGTAAGTACAATATGGAAAGTGTGAAGTGTACTTTGAGGTTTTGCATGTGGATGTGATATACGAAAGAAGATATGAATTTCGACGTGTCTAAGGAAGTGTATGTACAGCATACAGTCGCTAATGTTATCCTCCTTTCTTCTCTGCTACTACTATAGGATTCTGACTTTTTGAAATGGTTGGTTCGGTTTGTTGTTTGCATCCCACCATTAAACATAAGCAACAACTGTAAGTACGGTAGGGAATGAAATGTGAGGATGAGTTGGAGAGAAGTCGAGTGTCTGTTGGAGGTGCTGATGCCATGACGTGTCAGGAATAGTTGCATATTAAGAACAGCCTGCTCATGATCTTTCTTCTTTTCATTCTACTTCAGGTTTCGCTTTATGCTGGTTGGGTTAATTGTGTCCTGCGGACAAATAACAGATAGTAAGTATAAGCAAAAGGGGACTAGAACATTGGTATGATAGGTGAGTAGGATGACATGGGTGTTGGGGATGACGCGTCAAAGGTGTGCAGTGTGTACAGCAGCGTGACGGGAAAGGGCTCCTGACCATGACGTATGCAATATGGCAGTCTCTCAAAAAAGTTTTCTTTCTCTCTCGCCTTTCTTCTCTTGTTCTTCAGAATTGGTCGTCGTGCCCTTCTTGCTTTTTCTTTCTCTAACTCAAGGCTCTCTTCCTCCAAGCCAAGGATGTCATAATAGTAAGTATCGCTGTGCTTGTGTTTGTCTTTGCGTGTTTGAAGAACCAGGAAGATGTCTGCCGTGACATGTCAAAAAGTGTATGCAGCTGCTCATAGATGTTTTCTTTTTTCTAATAGAGGATGGCTTTGCGGTGATCTGTTTGGACTTGGATTGGCTTAGACCCCATCTCTCTCTGTCTATAACTTTGCTGTAAAACGATAAAACAAAATGTAAGTATAGCTGGACTCAACTTGGTAATGCCGTGTCAAAAAATAAATATAGCACAGTGGGTGCAGCCCTCTAATAATCATTTTTTTTATCCAGCTAGAAGAAGTGTTTCTGTTCTGGCTGCGATTCTCTGCTCTACACTGGCCGGGTGTTCGGTTATCCTGTGTCTCATCGTAGAAGTATGGGTAAGTATAGCACGATAGAATCTTGTGTGTGTGGTTTGACAGTTTCCCATTAACTATTCGTCTCTTTTGTTTCTCGGAATGGCGGTAGTGCACAGACACCTGCATGCTGGTCAAGATTGATGCTCTATTGCTATCCCGCTCCTAGAAGCCGACCTGTCAAGTAGTCCATCGGCTGTGGTCAAGATCTATCCATCCATCTGGACGGTGGCGTGTGCTTTTTGCTTTGAATGGACCTGAGGAAGTCGTTAAAAGCCTCATCTTCTTATTGCATTCTTATAAATATCCTCCCCTCCCCTTCCCCTTGCTCTGACCCAGGAAGTCGTTAAAAGCGTCTATTGCGTTCTTCATATAGTTTATCCCCTTCTCCTCCCCCTTTGCTTTTCTCTCGCAGTTCCTAGTAGCCTCTGTCTCGACCCATCTTCGGATGTTGCATCGTTTCACGCGAACGGCTGTTTTTTTTACTCAGGCAGCCTCCGGGCGTAAGTCCTGCTTCATCTACAATTTCCCCGCGCCCACGGGTCAAAAGTGCGGCCGAGGTCCCCCATGAATTTGGGGAATGCTTTGCGTAAGTATTTACTTTCTCTTTTTCTGTCTGTGAATTTACATGGATGAGAGTTTCCTTTTTTGGATTTTTCAGCTAACTTTTAAAGATTTTAATAATAAAGATGCTCTCATTCAGGTATCTATTTAGCTTAAAAAAAGAATATGCATGAGTTGATAAGGTTTTGTCAAAGGGGCGAACGTATAGCTCATCAAGAGTGTACCCAGATCAAACGGCTCGCCACGAGCAAAGTTTCAAAGGCATGGCTCCATATACCGCAGTTCAATGAAGTGTTGGAGTAAATTTCGTCATTCGCATCAGCTTGTTTCACTAACGGAAAAACCCTCGATACGTAACTTGACACAATCTCTCGTTTGCTTCTTTAGCTCCATCAATCTACTTTAATTATGTATCCACTGCTAGGATTTAAATTTCTACATACCACCCGCCTAAATTATTTAGCTGATATTGTGATTTTTTTTTCCCGTTGTTGTTCTTCTATTCCAGGTTGAACGTTGATGAATTTGTTTAAAACGAAACATTTATCCGCACTTCAATGAGAAGCAGAAGAATTCGTTCTTGAAAGTTGTTGTTGTTGCTGCTGCTTGTTGCGAAGAAGTTAAAGACGACTAGTAAAGTTTTGGTGAATGGATATCTCAGCGACTCTATCTCCCCAAGGTCGGGGCTTATAAGACAAGGCGATCCTCTCTCCTTCAATTCTGTTTAATTTGGCGTTTGATCCGTTACTGCGAACAGTTTTGGGCCGATCCGTCTTTCTTGGGTTTCACTCTTGGCAGACCAATGGGGACGCTCCCTACTGCTTGCTGCCCTCCACCAGTTAGAGTCTTGGCATACGCCCGACGACGCGCTTTTCTTCCTGAATGGCCCCAGAAGATTTTCGCCGTCTACAAGACTTCTCTCGCGGTTTACAGTCGTGCTTCAAACGCTCGCAAATCAATTACCACAAAACCGAAGTCATCTCCTTATCCGGGGCTGCGCAACCTGCTTGGGCAGCTACTTTTGGCAACTGCGGGTGTACGGGCATGGCATGATGATCGGTCTCTGTCCGCCATTGTGTATCTTGGATATCCACTGGCCTCTACTACTGCACGACGAATGGCTTTCCTTGACGGCTTACTTTCCAAGATAAAGATTGCTTGTGACATCCACTTGCAACGTGGCTTGTCAGTCCAAGGCCGTGCTACTGTCGTTGACGCCCTGGTGCTGTCAAAACTTTGGCATGTCCTGCGTGTGACTCCTGTTCCACAATCATTTCACAACCGAATACGCAGTTTGGTGAAAACAGAGCTGCTCGAGCGACCAAATTTTACATATAGGCGTTTAAACATCCGTTACACAGGCCCCCTCTAGCCTCTACTATCTTCACTCCTTTGGTAGACCAAACTTCTCCCCACACCAATTTCAGATTTTCCTTACAATCTGTAATTCTTTGCGTAGACCAACTTTTATTATGTTGCGTTGTAGTGACGTTCAGTACGTGAGATATAATATCCAGTGGTAGCCATTTACCACGCAGGTTTGACATTCTATTCTAAACATTTTTCTTTTTCTTTTTTTTTATTAGAAGAATATAAGAAAAAAAGAGAAGTTTAAATGAAAGTGTATAGGGATATGTTGGAGAAGATAAAGTATGGTTCTGCTTTTCATTCATCAGAGTTTATGATGCTCTTGGTCGCCCTGATCTTCACTGTCTGAATCATCGTCATCTAGATAATTAAACAGCCGTAGTCAACGCTACGCTCCATGTGGAAAAGCACCGTATTGCTAAGGGGACTGTGTCCTTCTGCTAGGCTAATGGTGCAATCACAATCTTCTTCTGACTCACCGGCCGACTCAAGATCTTCCCTAACTAGGCGCATACCGACCTCTGGAACAAAAACAGAGTCTATATATTCCGGGGTATCCATCGGTTTGATGTGCTCATTCGCAGCACCGATCTCGTGTACCGGCATGTCTTGGAGTGTTTTTGCGATAATTTTCTTGCCTCTAAACCCATAGTATCCAGGCTATAAAATATAAAGATAATTGTTATTATATCATAGGATCTACTATATACATTTCAATGTTGCTGTAAAATTCCGGACAGCTCTTGTGAACAAGTAGCTGGCGCAGCAATGTTTTAAGTAAATTCTCGAGTGTTTGTGTTTGCAGCTGACAAGTCGCAATGGAGTGTTTGCAATCACTATCTTTTTTTTCTCGGTCTACACAAAGAATTACACTTCCACCTTTTTTTGGTCTACGCAAGGAATTACAGATTGTAAGGAAAATTTTAGAAATTGGTGTGGGGAGAAGTTTGGTCTACCAAAGGAGTGAAGATAGTAGAGGGGACCTGTGTAAGTCTACGCAAGGATAAATTTGGTCGCTCGAGCAGCTCTGAAAAAAAAATACTATTGTACAACATGGCATCAAACCACATGTAAATATCTCTTATAAAACATCTTTGATTTTTGAGAAAGCTTGCTCATTAAATTCAATAAAATGCGATACCTGTGACAAGGCATATGGCCAAAAATTGTCTCTCAACAGACATATACGCCGGGTTCACGACCCCGAATTCTACGAAAGAGGTCATGGTGTGCAGCATGTACAAGGCCCCGAGCAAGAGCAATCAAACCGGCGAGATCTGCGCCGAGCTGATTACTCACGAAACCGCACTCGGTACTGCCGGCACCAGAATCTCAAGAATCGGCGACAACGCGGCATAGAGATTGTCCGAAAACTCGCCGCTGGACAAAATTAAAGCAGATTTGGAGGTGAACCTGGCTAGATTGCTCGAGACATTGCGTCAAAAGCAAATTTTTGACGATACCGTCGTTGAGTTTGCTCTGGTCCCTGTGCTCATGGCCGAAGCTGGTGTTCGTTTGGTCGTTGACCTCCGGGCCAATGATGTAGAAGCCGTACGGCGATCTACATACGTAGATAACTTTGGTTCTCTCCAAGGCATGTTCCGTTTCCGTTTGTTTACTTCGGACAGGCGAACTCTGGCGACAGGCACAGTGGCGGATGCCTTAACTTTGGAGGCATCAAGAACGACCGAAACGATCATTCAACTGATCATTGCCGCTGCCGTCGTCGACGATAGCCTTGGTTTTGACGAAGATGTATTAGATGAAGAAGATGAAGAGGCTGATGATGAGTAGGCGCAACCCTAACTCTTAAAAGATAAAATTAAAAATAAAAAGCACTAGAAACACATGATATCAAAATTCAGAACGGATATAGATGAACAAAGCAACGATATCGACCACTTGAACATCAGGTCGAGGAGCTGTAGTATTTGCTATAGTTATTCAAGCTTCTCCTGCTTTATAAGTATTTGGCCAGGTATGTATGTAACCTTGCCTCACCTCTTGAACACTTGGTGCACGAACTTGTACAAAGACTTCGAGTAATGTACGTACCAGTACCTATAATATGAGTAACGTACGTACCAATAATGCCGTTAGTTAAGACAGTATGCTCATTGTGCATAATAAAACAAAAACTCGTGCGTCGTTTATATTAAAAATTATATAAATACAGGCTCTTCCACTTACTATCATGATGGAGTTCGTAATAAAATCAACAAGGACATTATTGTAGTTACTGTTAGTATTGATTATTAGATGATGCTGCTTTATACGAAAATAGGGTATATAGAATAAAGGAAGGTATGGGAAAGTGGGTAATAAAGAGGTTATTTCTCTTGTTTATGAGAGGACCCTTCTAGCAAGACTTGAAATTTCCGCCCACAAAAAGTGAGCTGGTTCCTGAGAAAAAGCATAAGATGTAAGCATGAAAAAAGCTACATCGTCACCAGATTTCAACCTGCAATGAGGTCCACTACAAGCAATCGGCACAAAACCAAACACAGAACACGCTACTAAGGACAGCAGGCGAGAGAGTGAGAGAAGAACAGTTTCTATTAGGAGGACCGGTCATATCTTCAAATCGTTTAAAATGTGTTCAATATTAATATAAAACGGCTTTGTTGGTTGCCGCTCGCTTTTGTTTTCTTGTAGCTTGCCATTGCTAAGCGAATGCCATTCAATTGCTCGGCTGTTGAGTTCACGATTCTGGCAGCATCAACACGGTAGCCAGATTCAAGTTGATCAGCAACTTGATTAAGCTGAATTTGCTGCCGCTCGGAATCTATAGAGCAACATAGTGTAAGTGGACTAATATACTTGCTCGGTATAAACAACTACCTTTCAACAGCCTCGCGAAATATCTCTTCTGGAGCCAGTACTGCTTACTGAGCCGTGGTGAGATTACTCATGCTCGGGTCATTGCTTGGCGCTAATGTTGCGGTTGTTGTGCGATTTGCTGTTCTGTGAGATCTTCCTTCATTGTTCGCTTGCAATGGGCGAGGCAACGAAATGCGCTCAACCCTGTTTACCAGGAACAAGGAACAAAGAAACTTCTTATGTTAAAAAAAACTTACACTGTTTTGATGGTATCTGTTGCTGGGAGATGTTATTCATTAAATGTGGCAGTGAAACTGGAAATATGGAGCATAGGTAAAGAAGGAAAGTGCACGAAAACGAAATGACCCCACTACCGTTGTGACCGATTGCTGCTATAATCAGAGTGTCAGGAGAACGGTTTAACCAGCAGGCGATATTTGTGTGCTGATGCTCTTGTTGCTTTAAACGGTCAATCATATATCATAATATAAAAAAAACAATTTATTATTGTTAAATTTGACAGTGCATCCTTTTTACAAACTACACATGTCATAATCCCCCTCATTTACGGTAATGCTACTATTATCAGCGTCACCAAAGCTGCTACGCTCTGTTGCTGTTTGAACCTTGCGGGTACTCCATCAGTAAGATTGTATAAATATTGCGTCAGTTATTGAAAATCAGGACGATAAAGGTGGAGGACGACATGAGATCCTCCATCTATTCCTGATACCCCCTCGGTATCTGCCTTGTCAGCGTCATCGATAGCATCACTACAGCCAGCAACGGTATCGTTTTTGCGAGAAGAAGGCTGCAGTTCTTCGACTTCTCCGTTTATCACGTTGCTTGAGTTCTGATGCTGATCATGCTGTTGAGGATAATTGCAGCAATCAAGGGTGTTATGGTCATTGACGGTTCGACAGTTGCTGCAATACAAGTAGCATGTTTTAAAATTTGCTGTTACAGGTGGGTAATCTAGACTATTGATGTCGTAGTCAATAGGTACTAGGTAGCCGGTGTATTCGGCTTTAAATATAAGCGTTCGCGTCCCGATATTGACGTCGCGAATCACTATGGTGCCACTCCCGTCAAAAATACCTATCTCAGATTTATGCAGCGAAAGGTCTACGATCTGGTCGTCTGAAATTGTACTATAGTAAAACTTGCTGAGAATATCTTTTGCTGTTGAACGAAACTCGAAATCGAGCTCTTGTCTCGATGACATTAACTTTAAATTGGTAAATGATAGCACTGTAAACACATTGCATTTCTGACATGTTGTCATTGGATAGAGGCTTTTGCCGCTGTGAAGAATGGGGTTGTGTATAGCGTTTGCTCGAGCAGAATCAGTCGCAAAGACGACCTCGATAGCCATTCGAGCGCCGAGTTCTTGCTGCTGGTGTTGTCGACTTTGTGTGAACCACTTGCTTTTGAGCTGACGTGCACAGACGATGCTTTGCTTGTCACTTTGCTGTTCCACGATAGTTGTAATGGCTGCTTGCTCGGATTCGACAGTGTCCTCAAAGACATAGATAAGTGTCTTTTCGTTCGGGTTGAAACGCCATGGCTCGAATTCTCGGTATGACAGAAAGCCCGGAAGATTAGCCATGTTTTTCTGTGTAAGTCCTTAATAATGGACAAGTGGTGTGTGGTAAAGAAAAAGAACAGTGTAAATTTGAAGGTGGGGAAATGGAAGAACTAAAGAAAGGATGTTGGACTAGCAATTACTCTTAAATACATTGAATTTGACAACAGTAATAATATGAATGAGACAAGACAAAGTTCACTAGTCACTGCACCAAATTCTGCTCTTGGTAACGCAACTAAATGTTGCCAGTACTAGTATAAGCAAACAGCACTACACTTTTCCTGATTGTCCTCAGGACTCAGTGATTGGTTGATCTCTTCCTTGGCTGTTTAGTAAACATTGGCAACTATTTCGAGTACATATCCTTCTAATTGTCGTGCTATGTTCATTCACAAAAACGAAAACATGTGGCATTTATCAGTTTTTACAATTCCTTGTTATGTTTTAACGATACGCGATGAGTACTACCTTCAGTTACAGGTCCGTTTATATTTTGACCGAGTAGAGTGCCATTCTTTGCATGATGGTATATACAGGCATCGAGTGCGGCGTATCGTATCTGTTTAGCTGATAGCGTGGGCTCATTCCAATTACTAGTTCGTGCTTCGGTAGTCGCCATTGAACTACGATCTCGAAAATGTTCGCTAGCTTCATACAACACGGTCTGTCAACCACGCGATCTGCAGTATTGTCCAACGTCGTATCGGCCATCCCACTCGATATTGCAATCGTGTGCTAAGTCTTTTTTTTTAATCATTGGTGACAGCCCGCTCCATTTTAATTACTGACTTGGTACTGTGTATTTGAATTATGCCCCCCCCCCCCAGGCAATCTGGATGGCAGCAGTTCTTCCTTGGCCGTGCTCAATAGGCCGTTTGCAATCCAATCCAACCACAATTTTGCCGTTGCTCAACCCGTCCGCCGCCAAGTGTAACTCTTGTATTGTCTTGTATTACGCTGGCTGCAGCTTGGATGACTTCCGCGTTAGAGAAGCACTGTGGAGCGATGGTATCCGGTATCGTGAGCATTGAAAATGTATTAACGTCTTCGGATGCTAGGCTCCGGGGCTGTCACACGAGAAACATTATCCATTAAAGACGGCAAACAGGTTTCCGTCACCTCGTACGTTATCCGTAAAAACAATCACTGGCTGTTTATGTCCGTGGAACGATTATGATTGTCGCATTGTGTCGAACGCGTACCTAAGATGTGGTGAGGACTTGCTTGGAACAAAGAATTATAATCACACTTCCTCGTATTCGTTGCGTTGAATACTATGTATAGTGCTGTGAATGTTGCTGTGTCGTTGATTTTGCCTATAAGCTTAATTATCTTGTACGAGTGGTCGCCTTTGAGAAACGTAGCATCAAGCACCTCCATCTGTGTGTCGAGCTGGTGGCGACGCTCGTGGATATAACCGGTGTGAAATGTCCTGATATACTGTGTTGACGGAATATAGCCAGGGTATCCGCCAGGATCCTTGAATTCTGGGAAATCTTTTAGCTGTGTATTCGTATCGGCAATCGCCTGATCGATCGACGGATTCTCCTGACTAAATAGCTCTGCGTTGAGGTGTTGAAACGCTAGGCGAGAATGGCGTGAAAATGCTTCGGGCCAACCGAGTTTTGCATACATGGGCACTAAAGATCCCTCACACAGGTTTGGATAAACCACTGCGGTAAGTCATATATCCAGAATATTGGCATTGCAGGAACATAGGCAGCTGGCGGATAATGCTTTCATCGTTGGCAAGCGACACTTTTCTTCCCAGTGCAAGGGCCGTTCGTGCACTCATAGCGCGTTGCCATTATATAGCATCATGTTGCACATGATATTGGTTTCAAGTCAACTCCCTCTTCCATATCATGGCTTATTCGTAAACCATGTTGACTTGAGGCGGGATTGACAGCTCTGACATTTTAAAGTCTCAATGTTCTTAAGCAAGAGATGTAGCATCCAAAGAGATAGTACAGCGCCTCGGGCTCGAGCTTTTTGATAAGAGCAAAAGAACGGATCAGGCGGCAGCACCCAGAACGTTCCCTTTTTTGTATTCTTCAGAATACTTTGAGCTACAATCCGAGCTTGCAGCTGTTCGAAGTGTTTGTCTAGTATATTATTTCTTGACTTCTCGGCTTTTCTTGGAATGCTATATGCTATTAATGTAATGATGCATGACATCCAGCAAGAGTTATATTACTATCATTTTTATTCAATTCCTTGATTACCGTCCGCACACTGTATTTGCTTCTTACCATTCTGCATACCAGCGCGATCGCTATCTTGACTACATCATCGTTGCCTTCTTCATCACTACTGTCTTCAGAGTTTTCCATCTCATCCACGAATTCGCCCATATCTTTAGTAGGGGCAGCAGCTAAAGCCATTTCTGTCAAAGAAATTGCTGGATGGATATAACCGTTCGTCATCGTACTGATGTACTCCGCTGAAGCAGCTTGAGCTTCATGGCTGTCTGCATCAGATACGGCTATGGGTAAAGAGCTTACTGTTTCCATGTTTGCAGCATTGCGAGAGACTGGCGCAGTGCTGCTGGATGAAGTATCGCTATGCTGTTCCCCTTGTCTGCCGAAGGACAGCAGAGACTGACGAGGATCCACGTTTTCTTTCATTTTTGGTCTGCCCGCTTTGTGATTAGGAGGATTTCTGACCTCGACGTCTTTCCATTTCAAATTAGGTTGTACTTTAGCGTGATATGAGCTGAGAAATAAAGATAAAGGAGAAGATTACGACCGTGTTAAAACGAACAATAAAGGATTGCGTCGTTACAAACGCCAAAGTATTTCATGCGACCCAGACTAAAGTAAGCATTGATTGGCTTTAATACAACCCCACCTTTATTAACTGCGCCAACTCTCTGATCTTCGCAACGAGCAAGATACTTTGAGCAGCATACCCATATGTCCTCCCACAATTACCACTTTCGACTTCCAACAAAGTATATCCATTTAGCCACCCTTTCTCCCCATTGACTAAAAAGCATCGAGTATATACATGTATCATATATTTATTATATTTCTGAGGAAAATGGAGAAGCATATGCTATGTAATCGACTTTACACTGTGATATGTAGTATCAAATATAAAAAAGTCCAATGTCATTGCCCTCACCGGTGATTTGTGCTACAAACAGAATGGATTAGTATAATTTTAACTTCTCTTTTTTTTTGTATTTTTTTTCATTATATGATTCTCTTCCTTTTTTTTCTTTTCTCTTTTTTTTCTGTATTTTTTTTCTTTATGATATATGAGGAAGTGGTATGGTAACGGACGGCACACACGGTTGTATCAAAGGATGACGGTCGTAGGCATGTTGGATGGTAGTTGATTTTGTGTACGGAAGCTGCACTGTGAATGATTCATTGATAGCTTGATAACCTTCGTCATCGCCGATGCAAGCAGATACCAATGACCAGCTTGCTTTGTTTTGTCTTTTTGATTGTGTGTACAGGTAATATATCTTCGCGTAGAGCTCCTGTTAGTGTGAAAAAGTAAACATCATATTAGTCTTTGGGTCACTCGTATGTAAAGCTCTATTTTTACATGCCTGACGGATGACCCATTTTGTTTTGCTTATTGCCAACTCGTTTTTATGACTTTACGATTCTTTGCGCCTCTGTAGCAACAGGAACCAACGACTCTATGTGTAGATACAGGTAAACAACGTTAGACATATTTGATTCGATAAAGGCCTGCTGCATGCACAATAGCAAAGCATGATCTTCTTATCATTACCTGGCATATATGCTTTTTTGGTGAGCTCTTCTGCGCTGTTAGCTTTGATAAGCTAAGCCGACAGCAGGTTGTGATTTAGTTTGGATATCTTGGATGATCTTGTAAGGTCTTGACAGTGTGTTCGTCAGGAGATAGATTCGTCGTGAGAGTATTTTGAAAAATGAAAAGAAGCTTTCGTGCCGATGCATCCCGCGTGTGCCGTCGAGGTGTTGTGTTGATTTACAAACGGGTATTTTTTTCTAAACTACTAAAAACATACACTATTAGTTTTTCCAATCATTTGTTACACTTACCACTCAATGAGGGGACGACTTGGAGCTGAAAAATAGAACATGTGTGATAAAACAACGAAAGAAAGAAAGAAATAGAATTTGGGAAAATATGGATTGTAGGTTCTTGTGACAGAAAGACCAAATGGATGATATTTTCGAAGGCAAAGGTTCTGTCTATTTTGTTAAAGTGTGTTATAGTTAGTATACTCGTCACATAGTAACAGCGCTTCCTTAATCTTAACCTACCACATTATCTGCAGAATTCAAACATTTTTAATCGCGTATAATAGCGGTTTCACACGTCCAACGCACACGGCGGCCATTAGTCTTGTCGGTTTGGGATCCAGAATGAATCGTTTGATAACTTTCAGTTCGACAGCTGTGCATGATCGAGCAGTAGCTCTTGAGCACGCATATGCCTCGATCATTGAGCCTCGATCATTGATAAGAGCATGACAGCTTCTTGTCACCGTGTTGACATTGTATGGTTTTTGTGGGTCTTGATAGCGATAGCCTCGGCGCTGATGCTGCTGCTGCTGCTGCTTGGCTTGGGAACTGCTGAAAACCGTGACCATTGCGTGTACCGCTTGTCTTAATTATCAAGGATAGCTGGATCGATTGTCCGTGTTGCTGGATTCGATGATGACCGCAATTATTGGATATGCTGCTTGCTTAGCAATGTTGGTGTTTGTCCTCGATGGGTTGCCGCCAAAAAACCCAATGACTGTTGAGTTTGTGGATCGTCTCAGCACAAAATAAGTTGGTTTGATACGAGCGATCCCCCTGGCTTGTTGTGTGTGCTGCGTGTCCAACGCTATATCTGTAGGCTTGTCATTTGTTGCCACCAGCCACTAGAAGACCCAAATGACATGTGTTTAAATTTTTCCGTGTGTTGACAGCTGGTATCTTCGGAATCGGGCTAATTGCTTGTATGGCTGTGCGTGCTGCTGCTCCAGCGCTTGGTGGTTACTGCCACTTGTTACCGCCGCCATCGAGTCGTAGGTGGTAGGTAGCCACGTAGATAAACGTTTCCATGCATTTTGTTGCGGTGTTGATTGATGATGGTGGCTCACCAGGATGGTCATACCGTGTGCGCTCCTCAATTTTCTTGTTTCTTCATCGCTTGTTGCTTGTGGATGGGCCTTGACATGGTGTAGTCAGTCAGATGGGTTCTTGCTGTATCCAATGTTGAAAGGGGGTGCTCCGTCGCTTATTGTTGACCAACCTGGTACACTTTGGGTCAATCCATTGTTTGTCGCATTCAAACTTGCTCGCTTGCTTGCTCCTGGTAACTGCAGCCTCACATAAGGGCCGCCAAACCCTATGTGCCTCCTCCATGGCCGAGTCCTTCTGCTTTCGCGCTTGAAGATGGATGGTGAAATTGACCATGTCCGTTGACTTGAGTGACAGAAAGAGACTGAAACATGGTCGTCCACGTTGGTTCAAGACTTGTCCGATCTTCAAAAAGATTTGTTATCCAGCTTCTCCTTGACTACCATTTGCCGCCTGAGGTTGAACTTGGTTGTCTGATGACTTGTGAGATATATGGCAATCAGCTTGATAGTTGTCGCACTATTGCCAATCGTGATCGTGGGATTGATGTATCGATAGCCCCCGCAAGAAAGTCTTGTGCTTGGTAGGCGTCGCTGTCTTTTGCTCAAAGCATCGTTGATCATGCCAGTTTGGTTCAAGATTCAAAAGGTCGGTTCGACATGGATAAATAGGTAGGGACCAAAGCGGATGCTGGATCGACGCCGCTTGTTGAAATTGCCTTGTTTGTCCGAAGAAATTCACGTCCTGAGTATAGCCGACGGTATGCCAAAAACTTGGGATAGCGCTACATTCTTGTGGATTGTCGTAGCATGGTACCTTTTTGTCGGGATGTCACAATGTTGTTTCGCCCGGTTTAAAATGGCAGCAGCAGCGGCAGCGATTCACACGAAGATCAACACGATAAATACGCCCTTGGCTTCTTTGAGAGTCACTCGAGAGAGATAGGTTCGGACCGTTTGGATATCAGGCGCAAATTCTCAAGAGCACCGGATTTTGCCGCCAAGGAACCAGTATCAAGCCAAAGACGGAATTCTCCATTCTCCAAGCGGAAATGATTCCTTGAACACCCCGGTTCGCCTCCAAGAAACCAGGATCAAGCAAAGACGGAATTCTCCATTCCTCCAAGCGGAAATGATTCCTTGAACACCCCGGTTTCGCCTCCAAGAAACCAGGATCAAGCTGAAGACGGGATTCTCCACTTTCCCGTGCGGAAAAACTTCCCTTGCCACAGGAAAATTTTTCCAAGCCGCCAAAGGCTGGCAGTAACCATCACTGGCACCACCCGCCAAAAGAAGGACAACCCCAGCTTCAGGAATCCCCAAAGCAAAGGCAAGGGAATGAACGGGGACTTACATGGCACACTGAACTACAACCGGTGGGAGATCCAGAATATGAAGAGCAATGGGGATAGCGAGGACGGTACAGCCGGTGGTGGGGAGGGGAACACCGCTCTGGTTGCAAGGGTATTGCAGGAACACCATCCACATGAGTTGGAACTGACTGAAGACAACCTTGAGAAGGAATGAATTAATTCCTAGTAATGGATGCTTCTTCGCCTTCTTCACACCACATCCGAGTTGAATGCGATATGAAGAAGGGAAGAGTGAATGGAAAAAGGATTATCAGTTAGTAAGTCTCTTCTTATTGAGATGTTCGTCTTTCATTGAGTATTAAAGAAAATATAGTACTTCCCGTAATCATACAAGCCCGACGCCTTGGGTTGTCTTTTCAGTCAGTTCCAGCTCATGTGGATGGTATTCCTGCAATACCCAAACAACCAGAGCGGTGTTCCCCTCCCCACCACCGACTGTGCCGTCCTCGCTATCCCCATTGCTCTTCGTACCCCTTCACCCCCGGTGGCTGTAGCCAGTGCCACCAATGCCCCACCCACCCCTTACCTTTACCCGAGGAAACCATCCACTGAGGTGTCTTCCAAACCCGTCCCGCCAGACGGTCGCCACACACAGAGTGCAGCAGGCGGCAGCACGCACACGAAGGCCGCAGCAGCCCATGACCTATTTTTTTATATTGACTAATAAGAGGCACGCATGAGAGATTTGAGCTAATGATATTACATTCATTTATTTTTACCTTCATGTCCTTCCCGAACTAATCTCCAAAGCCATCCAGAGACGAGACGGCCAGCCACACACAAGCACGAAAGAAAAAACAGCCTAAATACGGAGAAAGGTGTAATATGATTAGATTTTGATATTAGTTTTGGTTGTTAATTGCCGCACTAAAGATACATACCCTGAACGCTTTCCACACCATCGCGTCAGTTGACGCATCGAAAACGCCAAAAAGAAAAGCACGCACAGAACGCGACTGCAGCAACGTACAACAGGAACACCAGAACGGAAGAAGAGGAGGATCAGGAGGAGGAGGAGGAGAAGAGCACCGACAGAACCACGAAGCACCGAAACGAAAGAAAAAACAGCCTAAATACGGGAGGTATAAAGGAAAATGATTAGATGTTGATAACAGGTCTGGTTGTTAATTGCCGCACTGAAGATACATACCCTGACGCTGTCCACACCATCGCGTCAGTTGACGCACTGGAAGACGCCAAAAAAGAAGAAAAGCACGCACAGAACGCAACAGCAGCAACGAACAACAGGAACACCAGGACGGAAGAAGAGTAGGATCAGGAGGAGGAGGAGAAGAACACCGACAGAACCACGAAGCACCGAAACGAAAGAAAAGACAGCCTAAATACGGGAGATATAAAGGAAAATGATTAGATGTTGATAATAGGTTTGGTTGTTAATTGCCGCACTAAAGATACATACCCTAAACGCTTTCCACACCATCGCGTCAGTTGACGCACTGGAAAACGCCAAAAAAGAAAAAAAAAGCACGCACAGAACGCAACAGCAGCAACGCACAACAGGAACACCAGGACGGAACAAGAGGAGGATCAGGAGGAGGAGGAGGAGGAGGAGAAGAAACCCGACAGAACCACGAAGCACCGAAACGAAAAAAAAGAAAAGAACCTGCCACACCCACATCGCACCAAGCTGCACACAGCAGCGCGCAGGACAACACCTACTGGTCAACTAAAGGAAACAGAAAAAAAATTATTAGAAAACAACCCTTTATTTCGTGTCATCACCAAGTAAAAAACTTACCGATCAAATCGTCGAACCAGCCATCAAGATCTTCTGCCTCAGCGTCGAGCTGAGCACGGAGAGCAGCAAGATCTTCCGAACGGAGAGAAGGGAGAGAAGAGACGGAACCACTGTCATCTTCCTCGGCCTCGGCGGCAACTTGAGCACGGATGGCATCAAGATCCTCTGACGTGAGGAGCGGGAGAGAAGAGGCGGCGGGTTCTGGGGTGGCGGTGGTGGTTACGGCGTCGGTGTTGATGTCAGATTGGGAGGGGTTGATGAGAGCCAAAAGCTCATCATCGGTCATCGCTATGTAGCGTTGGAGGTCAGACCGAGCTGGGGATTCATCCTCAGCTTCCATCGGCTGCAAATCGGCAGGAGAGTCCTCGGGAGAGTCCTCAACTACGCGATATTCCTCACCATGATCAGGCAGGGACACGCCAAAGGCGGTATGCCACGATCGTTTTTGTCGTGATGGCAGGGACGAACGCACAAAAGTGGTCGTATGCTCATATTGCAGGGACGAACACGCCGAAGCGGTCGTATGCTCGAAAAAGTATGGATTTTCGACAGAAGTATCACCTTCATGCCGCACATCAGAAGCGTCCGCCAACAAAGCCGAAGAAGGCATTAAATTGAAGGCTCCAACATCATACGACACAAAGTCATACGATGGATCCTCCATCTGCACATCTCGATCAGAGAGCGTGTCGTCTGTGTGTTCTGGCAGGGACTGACGCGCCGAAGCGGTAGTGTGCTCTAGCAGGGACTGACGCGCCGAAGCGGTAGTGTGCTCTTGCAGGGACGAACACGCCGAAGCGGTCGTTTGCTCTAGCAGGGACGCGCATGCCGAAGCAGCCGTATGCTCTGGCAGGGACGCGCATGCCGAAGCAGCCGTATGCTCTGGAGGTTGCAGGGACACGCATGCCGAAGCAGCGGTTTGCTCGAAGAAGATGGCAGGGACGAGCACGCCGAAGCGGCCGTATGCGCATCTAGAACAGACAACGAAGGCATCGCGTGGTTGTCGACAAGTTCAAGAACACGGGAGCCATGCATAAGCAGAGGGGCCACAGGCTGATCTATCCTCACTTCAGTAGAGTCAGAATTACAGGAGCCATGCAAAAGCAGAGGGGTCACAGACTGATCCACGTCGACAGGTTCAGGAACACGGGAGCCATGCAAAAGCAGAGGGGCCGCAGACTGCTCCATCATTACCGTAACCATGTGCTCATCTTTCACAGTAATTGCATTATCGACTGTTGTTATTGATTGGTGCGGCTGAGAGACATGAGCGGAAGCCGCAGCAGCAGTCGGGAGCAACGCGTGGGGCTCAGGATTCCTCATTGCACCCAGGTGCTCAGCACGTCGCGCGGGCACGTACTCGGTTGTCAGAACACCACGATTAACTTCAGAGTCAATCTCCCAGTCAATATCCCAGCAATGATAAATACATACCGGATTAGAAGAACGAGGCTGTCCACCATACTTTACACTTGGCCGACGGATCGCATGCACAGGTTCAGTGGCAGTAGTTGAAGTTGTGGTGGCACGTTGCGTGAACAACGGCGGCGGAGGCGGAGGCAGCGGCGGGAAGTCTAATGGCGGAAATGGCCAAGAGAGGAACAACAACAACTTGAACGGGGCATCAAGAATCCATGTGCGCACATGAGTGCAACACTCGGCACGGACGACAAAGGCCACAAGGGCAACGGAAACAGCGATGACAGGACGGGACAGGGCATATCGGTAGATAGCGGCCACTGTTTCCCCAAAGATACACAGCAAGATACAAAGCAGAACGAGCTTGGCGAAGAGGGCGTCAGATACGGTGATCATTGCGACAGAATGTAGTAAAAAGAAGCTGGTAAAGAAGAAGACCAGTGGGTTGGGCAGGCAACACTTTCTTATCAGTCGCCGTGCGCAGCAGATTGAAGCGCCGACACAATTTTCGCGTGAGGTGTGCCTACAGCACCTTTTCACCTCTCATCGTGACATGGTCTTAAAAAAAGAAAGCGTGATTCTTTCTATGCTGCTGTTTAGTAACCGAGCAACGGCAGCTAACTATGGCGACAATCACTACGAGAACAACGCTGTTTATTGCTATGATACGACACGCTACTGGTTTCTCAGCCTATTTATGCGGCTTGTTGCTACGTGAAAATCGGAGTGCAACATTTAATAAAAGCGAACGTTGCCACCAAAACGTTTCTTCCTTTTTTTTTTGCTTTGCTGCCAGAGCCATTTGATAATACTAATGTAACCTTGCTTTTTCGGAAATGAATAAATGAGTATCATATATACAATTAGTATCATGTTGCATATGATATTGCTTTAAATCACTCTGCCATATCTACAACGCGTCATAGCTTATTAATTACCCCTTTGGACTTGAAGCGAGATTGACAGCTCTGACATCTAAACGTCACCTTAAGCAAGAAATGCGGCATCCAAAGGAATATACGAAGATATTACAGCGCCTCGGGCTCGAGCTTTTTGATTAGAGCAAAGAACGGATCAGGCGACAGCACACAGAACGTTCCCTTTTTTGTATTCTTCAGGGTACTTTGAGCTACAATCCGAGCTTGCAGCTGTTCGAAGTGTTTGTCTAGTATATTATTTCTTGACTTCTCGGCTTTTCTTGGAATGCTATATGCTATTAATGTAATGATGCATGACATCCAGCAAGAGTTATATTACTATCATTTTTATTCAATTCCTTGATTACCGTCCGCACACTGTATTTGCTTCTTACCATTCTGCATACCACTGCGATCGCTATTTTCACTACATCATCGTTGCCTTCGTCATCACTACTGTCTTCAGAGTCTTCCATCTCATCCACAAATTCGTCCATATCTTCAGTAGGCGCAGATGCTATCATAAAGCCATTTCTGTCAAAGAAATTGCTGGATGGATATAACCGCTCGTCATCGTACTGGTGTACTCCGCTGAAGCAGCTTGAGCTTCATGGCTGTCTGCATCAGATACGGCTATGGGTAAAGAGCTTACTGTTTCCATGTTTGCAGCATTGCGAGAGACTGGCGCAGTGCTGCTGGATGAAGTATCGCTATGCTGTTCCCCTTGTCTGCCGAAGGACAGCAGAGACTGACGAGGATCCACGTTTTCTTTCATTTTTGGTCTGCCCGCTTTGTGATTTGGAGGATTTCTGACCTCGACGTCTTTCCATTTCAAATTAGGTTGTACTTTAGCGTGAAATGAGCTGAGAAAAGATAAAGGAGAAGATTACGACCGTGTTAAAACGAACAATAAAGGATTGCGTCGTTACAAACGCCAAAGTATTTCATGCTACCCAGACTAAAGTAAGCATTGATTGGCTTTAATACAGCCCCACCTTTATAAACTGCGCCAACTCTCTGATCTTCGCAACGAGCAAGATACTTTGAGCAGCATATACCCATATGTCCTCCCACAATTACCACTTTCGACTTCCAACAAAGTATATCCATTTAGCCACCCTTTCTCCCCATTGACTAAAAAGCATCGAGTATATACATGTATCATATATTTATTATATTTCTGAGGAAAATGGGATGTATATGCTATGTAATCGACTTTACACTGGATACGTAGTATTTATATAAAAAAGTCCAATGTCATTCCCTCACCGGTGATTTGTGCTACAAACAGAATGGATTAGTATAATTTTAGCTTCTTTTTTTTATGTTTTTTATCTTTTTTCTTTCTTTTTCTTTTTTTTTTCTGTATTTTTTTATATTTATGATATATGAGGAAGTGGTATGGTAACGGACGGCACACACGGTTGTATCA